CGTACGCGGGAATTACGCATACCTGGAAGTAGAATTTGAAATCTTTGAGTCCAGATGGACGAGAGACATAACTCCATAATTTCAGCTTTCCAGTTTTTCTGGTCCCGATCTGACGATTCTGTCGGCAAAACTTTCGTCTTCTCGTACACGGAGCGCAGAATTGCATGAGAGTTGGTGCCGCGGTCCTGGAGTGGCACTTGGTCGGGGAGCTCGGAAACAAAATTTTGGCGTCGGACTTGAAGTACCCGAACAAACACACACACGCAGGCATACCATGGGTCGTCAAAATATGCATTTTTGCAGTTTGCATATAAGCAAAAACGCATAAAAAGTAGGCCGAGGCTTTGGTTCAGAGCAAAGATGAACAGTCAGGCGCACGCTCACATTTACTCATCACTTTTTTTTTAGGAAAAAAGAAAAAGCGATACCCACGGTATCTGCTGATTACGGGGAAAGGTACAAAGGGTTAAATCGGCGAAAATTCCCCTTAAAAAAGTGATTTATAATTATCATGACAAACAAACTTCAACTTCCGAGCCTTGTTGTTTCGCCCATTGTTGCAGTTTCTCGGCAAGTTGCTCCAAGCTTTCAGTTGTATTATCACGTATAGCGAAAAATTCTTCGCAAGCCTCGTCACTCAGTTGAGAAGAAGCCTTTGCATCAAATGGAGCAGTACAGCGCGTTCTCAGGAACCAATTTTTGCTCATGTACGTTGGAGTGGATTTTGTGTTCGTTTGAAAATTTTCATCACTTCTGATTTTCCTATCACCTGAAAAGTTAGATTTACTTGCCAAGAACGTACCAAAACGTTAACTGAGCATAGATGTGGCAGTTCTGAGTATTGTCCAACTGCCTACTTTCCAGGACTGTGGTTCCAAAGCAGCCCTCATTCAAATTGAACCCTCAAGGCTCTTTTTAATTTGAACGATATTTTTTGGGCAGAAGAGGTAACTACTACATTCATGAAAGAAGTTGAAAGAAGCTTCAGAACGCGATATTTTATGTTGGTTCGCACCTCTAGTACTTGCTAAATATTTATCTTTAATTTACATATGTCGGTACAAGTATCAAACAAAATGTTTGCACTATTGGTAGTTACAGATCATCCCAACACAAATTGAAAGCATTATTTTCTGTCAGCGCTCC